GCTTCCCCCAGCAGATGCTGAAGAACCTGAGTGAGCTGGAGGAGGAGCAGCAGCAGTTCCACCTCTTCCAGCTGCAGCAGCTGGACAAACATCTGCTGGAAGTGGATCAGGATGGGAAATACGAGGAGGAGGAAGAGGAGGAGGAGGGCGAGGTGAGCGGAGGAGTCCGGCTCCTTGGGACCCCCTGCTTGTCTGTCAGGGCTGCCGTCTGGACACTGGTTCTCTTGCGCTCCCAGGTCATGGAGGAGGAGCCGAACGGTCAGGAGGAGGAGCCGGAGGTGAAAGTGCTGGCTTTGTCTCCCCGCTGCTGGACCATCTCCCCGCTCTGCTACCTGGAGGAGCCGGCCAGATTCTTCCCCCCATCCCTCAGTCAGCACTTGGCCAGGTTTGCTGACTTCTATACCCAGAGTGAGTGTGGGGCTGTCAGAGCGCTGAGAGGGTGGGCCAGTCAGTGCTGCTCATGGTATAGCTGTAAAATGGGGAAGGGCCCCAAAATCAGGAAGTGGCCAGTACTGAACCCTCTGCAGTCCTTCTGTGCCCAGGCCCAGAGTTGAAGGCAGTGCAGAAGGTCTGTCTTTTGAGAGAAGGGGCTCTCTGTGGCCTCTCAAGGACACGCTCACGCACACGTACGCTGGGCTGGTGCCAGAGGAGATCCTGCCCCAGCACGGCTGCATCCCGTCTCTACATAGTGGAAGAGAGAGGATTGTTGTGCTGTTGGGAGAGGAGTTCGCCTAGCCCTGGAAGAGTGGCTTCTTTCTCATATTTTCACCCTTAAGGCCATTGTGTGGTAAGAGCTGGCGTCCCTGGCATAGAGAGTGGCACGTCCCCGTTTCAGTCCTGTTAGAAGGAGGAGCTCGGTTAGGTGGGAAGAGGCTCACGTGGGAGGGCTGCAGCCAGGCAGAGTAGAGGGGGGGGGGCGAAAGGGACCCACGGTCTGGATGGTGAGAGGCAGCATCAGATGACGTATCCTTTGCGAGGTCTCGTAGAGCCGGGATTTTGAGGGCTTGGAGAAACGGGGGGGGGGGGGGTTTGGGGAGTGAGGAAGCACGATCCCCCTGGTCGAATTTGCCCTGACTGAACCTTTTTCTTGTTCAGGTCAGAGCCGTTTTGGGCTGGAGCACACGAAGCCACGGCGTTTACAGTGGACGTGGCTGGGTAATGCTGAGCTGCAGTACCAGGGCTGCATCCTGCACGTGTCCACCCTGCAGATGTACATCCTTCTGTGCTTCAACAGTGCTGAGGTTCTGCCTGCCTTGATTCTCTCTTGATTTCACTATGGCACAGAATTTCCTGCATTGTGCAGGAGGTTGGACTAGATGACCCTGGAGGTCCCTTCCAACTCTATGATTCTATGAATCTATGACTTTCAGGACTGTCAGTATTGGCAGAATGCTGCCAGTGTGGTGTAATGATGGAACTAAGAGATCAGGGTTCCACTCCCCATTCTGCTACAGCACTCATGGAGTGGCCTTGAGCCTGCCATACTCTTTCAGTTTGACTCATATTAGGATGAAGTGGGTGGGACAGCCATGTATACTCGTTAGTTCTGTGGATGTAGGAAAAAAAGCAAAAATATAGAATGGGATGGACAAGACCCTCTCTATGAACTTTATATAGTAGTGTTTGAATTATGCAACACGGGAGGACACAATCTGTTCTGATTCTCGACATCTTTTGGTATGGGCAATTTCTATATCGTGCACTTCTGGCCTGTGTCATGACCAATGCTCCCTTTAAGCTGTGGGGTCTTGTGAGCAAAAATTCTACTTTGTGAGCTACTGGCATTAAAGTTGTGAGCAAGTGGTTTGGCTCATGCATAAATTAGTTCGCTCTGGAGCCATCCTTCCTGAGCTAAGACAAAAATGTGTGAGCCAGAGGCTAAAAAAGTGTGAGCTAGCTCACACTAACTAAGCTTAGAGGGAACACTGGTCATAACTTTCGTTTGACTCTGGGATCACAGGGGCCATTGGCTTAGTAACTGGTAGTTTCCCCTCTGTTTTTGACCAGGGATATTGCCTGGTTCACCATAGACTTGGGCCCTGTTTACTTGATCCTTTTTAAATTTTTATGGCTAAAGAATTAATGGGATTTACAGTATCTAAGATGATGTACCATGAAAGCGTAATAACCTGTAGTGAATTGTCAGAATTTCTGTGCATTCCATACGTAATGATGGTGCTGAAAGGGTAGCATAAGGTTGGGTCTCTATAATATATTGGCGATCTTTGTAGGAGCTCTTGTTTGTCGATCCAAATCATTGCCTTCCAGATAGGCCAGTATGGCCTCCGTTTCCTGAGGCCTCCACCTTGCAAGTAGGGATTTTACCGTGTTTGTGCTATTTGTCTATGGGAATCCTTTGTCAAGAGATATTTTAGCATTCCTCTTTGATCTGTCTCTACTTAGTAACCTCTTTCTTGATTTTCCTATTGGTCCTAGGAAGTTTCTGTGGAGGCACTGTTACAAGCTACTAATCTCTCCCCTGTCCTCCTTGGACATGCACTGAAACCTCTGACCAAGGAGAATGGTATCTTGTCCCAGAATCAGAGTAAGTATAGAGAGGCTTCCAAAGGGGGGGGGGGGTAGGCTGGAGGAAGAGAGGAGATCTTGATCCATTGGGAATATTTGCATGAGGTGGGATTGTTCCTGTCAGCTAACTTAATGGAGCAATTGACCAGGCCAGGTCTCATGGAAGTTAATGTAATGCTCCTAATTCAGGAAACGGGAGAGAGTCCTGATGTTGTGAAGACTTCTTGTTTTTGTTTCTAGGTGTCTTGAGGCTGAATGAGAGAACATTGGCTCAGACATCTGGCCAGCGCCTATGGCTGTTGCCCAAACAGACATACTTGAATGTAGGGGAAAACGAGGGCAGTGCCCTTGAGAAGAAGAGGAACATCATCTGCTGCCTCCTTATCCAGATCCTGAAAGAGGAAAAGGAGATACACATTGACAATCTGGTGTTCAGGGTATGGAGTGCAAGACCTCTGGTCTTTGTAATTCAGTCTCCAGCTGCCAAGCCAAAACAGGATTAATTTGCTGTCTGCCTCTCTCAGGTGATCGATGCCTGCCAGAAATGGGAGTCCGGCTCAGCTCTGAAATTCTTGAGCTTTTGCTGCAGCAGCACTGATGTCCTGTCCTGTATCCTTCATCTGCTAAGTCAGGGCTACATGCGGCGCCAGGAAGACAGTCCTCAGCTCCTCGAGTATGTTTCTGCAGAGCCTTCCACACCTCACCGGGGCCAGGCTCAGCTCATTTTTCAGAATGCTGATTGCCAGAACAGGAAAACTGCTTCTGGGACAGATGCAAACAACAAGTTCTCTCCTTTCAGGTAATGTCATGTATAAATATAGGGTGCACGGCGGGAACAGGACCCTGTTTACATGCGGTTGATACGGCCTTTTCCTTCTGACATTAGATTAGATACCTTCAGCCTTGGCACAGAAGAGGTTCTGATGGAGACGATGCTGCTGCCCAGAGGACGCACAATGAGCCAAGAAGAGGTTGAGATGCTGATGACTCAGACTGTACAGAGGGTCTCAGATACGCTAAGTGTGTCTGCAGACATAGCCCAGCACCTGCTTATACACTGTAAATGGAATGTAGATGTGCTCATTCAGCGCTATACGGAGGACCCAGAGCAACTGCTGTATTCCTCAGGTCTGCAAGTGCGAAATCCCCAGCCACCTTTGGACCCTGTTACCCACTGTCCAGTATGTGTGAATCAGCTGACCCCAGAAGACAATTCACCTGTTCTCTGCTGCATGCACTATTGCTGTAAGGTGAGGGTTGACTCCCTTTACTCTCTGGATGGTAGACACAGGGCAGGAAGAGCAACTCTTTCTCCCTTCCCCTCTGAGGTTCTCAGCAGGTCTGTGCATTAGAAACTATGGAGGTGTTCTACACCCCTGCTTTGTCCTTTTAACTGTTCACATACTTGTATTTATGATTGCACTCTGTGCTCTCACCCAGTTTAAGAAAATACGAGCCAACTTATGGGATAAGACCTGTGGTACATCCAGTTTAGCATCCCCTTTTGCTCAGTAATTAACCTGATGCCCCTAGAAAGCTGACAAGCAGGGGATGGAGGCCAAAATCTCCCCCATTGTTGGATCAGAACATGAAAGTAACAGTCGTTGAGTGTTTTAGTCATTAATGGACCTCTCCTCAGTGACTTTGCCTAATCCCCTTTTAAGGCCAACTAGTGGCTCAGTCTACTTCCTACAGCAGTGAATTCCACAAGTTAATTACTTTGTGAAGAAACACTTCCTGTTGCGTTTTGGTTCAAATGAGTAAAACAATATTGTCACTTTTGGGGAAATGGTATCTAATGTTATTCCTGAAGAATTTACAGATTTGAACCAGATGGCTTCCTTCCATTTGGGTAGCTATCTGTGGTGGTAATACTTTGTAGATCTCTTGGTCTAACCAACCTCTTCCCCCTGATGTTGATTTCAACTAGGCTTGCTGGAATGAATACTTAGCAACTCGGATTGAACAAAACCTGATTCTGAACTGCACATGTCCCATCTCTGACTGCCCGGCACAACCCACTACTGAGTTCATCCGCTCCATCATTTCGTCCAAAGAGGTCATTGCCAAGGTAGGCACACTAATTATGATCAGTTAAGACCCTAGGTTTGCATTTCTGGTCTGTGTTCATGGTGATTATATACTTAGATAAGGGCAGTCCTTTTCATGAGATCATTTACTTTTGTTCTGTAGTCTGGAATCTGTCATAATGTAACTTAGTCCTGTGATTCTGAATTGCTCATATATTTGTTTGTTTATTTAAAACAATGCAATGCCATCTTTCCACCCAAATAGGGTCTCCAAACATTTCATCATTAAAGCAATATGTCAAATAAAGTATATATAAATAAGTAAATAATTCAATAAAAACAAGTACACATACATAACACCACAACCAGGGAGGATGGCAAATAAGTTATTGGGGGTATTCCAAACAAAATGAAAAAGTTTTCACCCACTGGTGGAAGACAGCAGTCAAGGGAGACAGATGAAACTCCCTGGGGAGGGAATGCCAAAATTTCAGTGCCACACCTGAGAAGATTCTTTCTTGGGTTACTGCCCATCTAGCCTCAGATGGCAGGGGCACCCAAAGCAGCGCCTCTGAAGATGACTAGAGTGGACAGGTAGGTTCATATGGAAGAAGGTGGTCCTTCAGGTTCGTTTACAGGTCATATGGCTTTTGGAACTACCTAGCTGTCCACAGAACACCACCACCTGGATTACTTCCTTGAGGCATCTGAGCAGATTGTTCTGTAGATACATGCTTGCTGCTCTTGTTGTTACATGCTATATTCTGGGCCCCATGGGTAGATACATATGATGATCTCGCCCATTTCCCTCCCTCAGAGGCAGAATTTTCCCTCCGTTTGTCTCTCCCTTTCTGACTGAGTAGCCTTTTTTATCTAGTTTCTTCTTCTCTGAAGATCTGTGGCTGTCCCACCCTGTTGCAGTATGATACTTTGCTGCTGGCTCAGCCCAGGAATTTGAGGGGACAAGATCACCCCTTTAACTTAAACTACTGAAATAGCACACGAGAGGCTTTTTAAAGTTCAAAAATAAGAAGAAGAAGAAGAAGAAGAAGAAGAAGAAGAAGAAGAAGAAGAGGAGATTGGATTTATACCCCGCCCTTCACTTGGAGTCTCAGAGCAGCTCACAAACTCCTTTCCCTTCCCCTCCCCACAACAGACACCCTGTGAGTTGGGTGGGGCTGAAAGAGCTCTGACACAAACAGCTCTTTTTCAAGGACAGCTGTGCCAGAGCTTGTGACTGACCCAAGGTCACATCAGCAAGTGCAAGTGGAGGAGTGGGGAATCGAACCCGGTTCTCCCAGATTAGAGTCCGCACACTTAACCACTACACCAAAATATTCAACGTAGAGGGGAAAAGGTCAGATGAAATCGGGTAAAATTCTGAGGTAAATCAATAATGGACTATGAGGTAAATCAGAATAGGCACAGACTACAGTTCATATGTTTCAAGAATTGAGAGTTTCTTTACCTTTTCACATAGTCTTAGAATCTTTAAGATGAGAGGCTTTTGTTTCAGTGTTTCCTAAATACTCCATTATACTTTCTTGAGCTTAACTGTTTCTTGGTTTCCAGAAGGCAGGGATCCAGAAGGCAGGCAGTTCCCAGATTCCTTCACTAATCACATCAGTACACTTTCTTGAGTTTTACTGACACTTCAGGTTTCAGAAGGCAGTCTCTAAACACACCACACCAGGGTTCACTCCACTCTTTGAGCTATCTCCCTTTTTTAACTGGGAATTTCATCTCAAACTAGAAGATCTATCCCCTTTTCTGACCCGAATGGGAGTCTTCACTGATCTACCCACTCCTCCTGCCAACCTTCTCTGTCCATGTTAAAATGCTGTCAGTCAGGGCTAAACATAAACCCTGTCAGCACCCAACTCTTCTCAGACAGGGCTAGTCTCAGACTGAGTTTTCTTCACCATTCTGCTCAACTGATACCAATCAAATTCACTCAAGCTTTCTGGCTGTTTGAGGCATTAACCCTTCACAGTCCTTTGCATATTTACACCGCATTTCTGAGCTTTTAAAGTGCAGTCTGTCACAATATGGCAGATCCTGTTTTCATGCAGAACTGTATTAGCAAACCTTTTGGTTCCTTCACTATATGCTGTTGGGGCTGAACATGTTCTGTGCCCAAAAACAAACTGAAAATCCTATGCTGGTGTAAAGGAGTCCAAGCCTGAACCCCATGGGTTCCCAGAGCTTGTGTGCACACACAAAAAATCTTTGTTAAAATATATGAAGTGTATTTGAATAATTTTCAGAAATAGTTTTATCTTTAGGCAACACACCACTCTAAAATCATACAGCAAAAGCAAACAAGAAAAACTAGCTTAACTATCTTACACATTTGAAACCTGCATTAAATGGCACAATCTTAAAGTCCCAAAGTCAAAGGCCATAGCTTAAGTGTCCCCTACGTCGCTGTTCATTGCATTATAAGCATATCATAGTCCAGGCCTTTAGTCTATCAGAATCCAAGCTAGTTTTCCTTCTCCATGCTCTTAGCCCAATTATAGTTTTTTAGCCAACCCGCATCATGTGATGATGATAATCCAATCAGGACACGTTCTTGCTGGAACCCTCTAGAAAGTTACCTCATCACTCCTGATTCCCCCCTCCCATCCTGTGGGCCGCAAGTTCTCATGAAGAGCTAATTATCACATTTCTAACTCTAGCCTTGAAGATGATAAGGGCCATGTAGGCAGAGAGGCCCAATTAGCAACACTTGCAAGATGGAATAAGCCTGTTACTATTCACATTAACCCTTGAGAGGAATCAGGGGTTCTTTGCCTCACAGCTGGTAATCCAGTTCTTGAAATAAGGATGGCTGGATTCTGTTTTTCATGTGGTATGCAAATAGACATGGTGGCTGCAGTTTGCATCATTTATTCTGCCTATGCCAATCAGAACGAAAGTGATATGTGGGGCACTGGTTTCTTTCCTTGATCAATGGAAATTCAACTGAATGCACACACTATTGAATTTCCAAGGTGCTCCTCGTACTTTCAAGGCTACATTGAAACTTGTCCTTTGAAAGAATATTAAGTATTTTAAGGGCTTTGTAAAATATCTTAGGATATGCAGTTCTATGCCCAGTATCAATTATTGTGGTACCTGATGCAACTATGAAACCTCAGAATATGCACAGCCCTGCTTTTGGTATATCAATGGTTTCTTATTTCATGAAGAGACTGTAGTAAGTCTTTATTCCTAGGCAGTTTCACGTTGAAAGTCTTCATCACGTGCTGGACAACAGATACACATCCCAGACTGAAAGCCTGCACTAGCAGTTGGAGTTAGGTTATTGGGGTAATTGTCTTCAGAGGGAATACAAAACAGTCCTTTGGTCTTAGTAATATCTCTGTTCTGGGACTTGGAATCTCTTTTGTTTGAATACTTAGAACAAATTTCAGGATTAAGTCACAGAAAAGGAAACTGCTTGCCCATGCTTCCTAAATGAGAGCTTGTTCTTGCGGTTGTCAGCCTGTATGCTAAGGTTGTAAAGAACTGTAGCTGTTGTGGTTGTCAGCCTTTATGCTAAGGTTGTAAAGAATTGTAACTATGGGGGCTTCTGATTTATGCGACTTGCTCTTGGACGTGTCTCATCGAATGTCCAATGGAGACGTGCCAAGCCGAGGCGATCAGGAGGGGTCATGGCCAATGTTCCCTCTAAGCTGAGTTAGTGTGAGCTAGCTCACTTTTTTAAGCCACCGGCTCACACATTTTTGTCCTCGCTCAGGAAGGGATGCCAACTAATTTATCCAGCAGCCAAATCACTTGCTCACAACTTTAATCCCAGTATCTCACAAAGCAGAATTTTTGCTCACAAGACTCCCCAGCTTAGAGGGAGCATTAGTCATGGCTGGTTCCAGACCCCCCTGGCGTCTCTGTAGGAGACCCTCAGCCTGGGGAGCCGGGTTAAGCCCTCTCCCAAGGCGACGGCTGAGGAATCAAGGCTTGCCTGTCCCCGAGAGGTCCTGACGCCCCGGAGCCAGTATGGCGCTCAGAGCCTACCGCTGGACAAGCGGACAAGAAAATAAGCCTCTTGCAACAATCAAATACACCTAAACAGTGAGATAATCAGACCTCTATATAAGCGAAGAAGTCTCGGTCTGCCAGATCGTTGAGGGAAGGAGCAGCAGGTGGGGAAGGGTCGGAGTTCCACCCCCCTCTCAAAAAGGAGCAGTTTCTAAGCGCTATAGAAAAGAGAGAAAGAATGAAAGTAACTGTACGAGACTTCTGCTGAGCTTGAAAGCTGCATTTTAAGCCAAGAAGCACCGAATTCAGAGAAACTTTACTTTAAAAATAAAACTTTTCTTCTTTGTAAACATGTCTGGGAGAGGGAGGAGAATGGTGGCGGAGAAGAAACTTCCCCCAGGAGGTACTGTACCAACGTCTCCCACCCAGACACAGGAAGCGGCTGCAGACTTCCCCAATATGCTGGCCGCAGCATTGTGCCCTCTGCTGGAGCAGATGCCAACTATCAACACCAAGATGGATTCTGTTCAAAAGCAACTTGTCCACATGGAAAAAGAGCCAGCAAGACAGACAAGAGGATCGAGAAAGTTGAAACAAGAACTACAGACATTAAGCAAGAACTGGAAGAAGTTAAAAAAGAAAGAAACACCGATAAAAATCAACTACTTCTGCTTCAACTTCTATGTTTTCAAGGAGTTCTTGAACAACAGGGAGAAGATTTAAAAACAACATTAAGTGGAGCGATTGCAGCAATTTCGGATTTAAAACAAGAGGACCTCCAGAACGATATGGACGTGGCATATCGCACATATCCTGACTTTATAAGAAAAAACAAACTACCGGGCGAAATCTATGTTAAATTCTCTAAGAGAACAATGAGAGACAATGTTTTAAAAGCTACATCGGAAAAAACATTAAAAGTTAACGAGGAAGAAATTAAAATTTTAAAAGACATTCCATTTGAAATCTGGAAATGAAGACGTCAATATAAAGACTTAATTCTTTTCTTGCAAAATAAATCAATAACCTACAGGTGGAGCTTCCGTGTTCAAATATAACGATAAGAAAATCAAAATTGACTTCGTCCAAAAGGCCAAAAACTTTTTGAAACGACAAGTGGGCCCAGATGAAGATGATGATTTAAATTTGGAGGACGGAGAGGAACCCAGTGAGGAAGAAACGGATAATGCCTTGGGTGACTCCAGCAGTTCGACTTCAGAGTCTGAGAAAGGAGAAGCAGCAGCACCCAAAGCATCAAGAGTGAAGAAGAAGAAACCCAAGAAATAAACGATTTACTCTGGATTACATATTTCTGATTTTAGCGTAATCCTTTGGATTACAAATTTTTGACTTTAGCATAATTAATAATCATCAGACAAGTTTGATCTCACTGTTTCCATACTTTTTAAATATATCATTGTTAATGCAGGAGTGATTTATGAATTTGTAACGCAACGTCAAACCTTGTCTTAAGTTAGAAATAGTACGTTCCCCTTAGCCTTTACCCTTAGGAAGTAGGAATTAGAGTATAAAACCAATAAGGTTTATTCAGAAAATAGAAAAGAATTGTAACTATTGTGTCAAAATAAGTGTGTGAACCAACAGCATTTCAGGAGCTAAGTCAGGAACAGGAGTCCAAATCTCCTGAATTACACCCTACTCTTAATGATCTTCTCCAAATTCCTTCTGCATTTTAATAAAAATTGTATTACACGTTTTCGAAAGCATCTAGAACAAGATTAATGGCATGGAAGACTTCATGAGCTTATATAAATGGGGCTATACAAAGACAACTGTTGTTTATACATAGATTTATCACTACAAATTAATTTCAGGATTAGATGAATGACCCATTATCATACAAAAGAACCCCACGATGCATAAAAATTGTGTTTTCTTAATGGATTCTGTTTAACTTGTTATGTTAGTGCCATTAATGAATTTGGCTATATGCCAGATTTGACTACATCATTCTGCCATTGAGGGAGACTTATCTGATATCCATTTAGAAGCAATTAAGATTTTTCCTATTGAAAGCATATTCCCAATTGTTGTGTATTAATTTTCTGACATATTTGTTACCAACCAGAAGTACAAGATTCAAGTCCAGTAGCACCTAAAGATCAACAAGAGTTCCAGGGTATCAGCTGTTGAGAGTCAAAGCTCTCCTTGTCTTGCAAAGGGAGCTTTGACTTGAAAGCCTGGGAAATCTTATTAGTCTTTAAGGTGCTAGTGGACTCTCTCTTCTACTGTACACACCAAGAAGGCTACCCACCTGAAACAATGTTCCCAGTTAATATGACATCAGGAGTTTGTGAGATAGGACAACCGGTTATAACATCAATTATGTCTACCAAATAAACTTCAATTTCAGGACAGTCCCAGTGGATAAGTATAAGTTTTGCCTTATCGATACTGCACTTTCAGTACTGCAGATCCCATCATGTAGATCCCCCCCCCCAGCGTAAGATATAAAATATTTCTTTTTAAAAATAATGCTCAGTGTAGTGAAGCTGGAACTAATTTCTTCTGTATTTCCCTCCAATCAGGGCCAACCCGTTATTGTTAAATTTTAGACTGTCGCCTAGGGCGATGGCTTGATGAGGGCACCATTCTGGCTGACCTCGCCCCTCCTCGCCCCGCACAGGAAGCCTCCCTTGCCAGCTTCTTGCTCCGTCCCCGGCAAGTGACTCCCCTCTTTGCAGCCCCCCAAACAGAAAGAGAAGGAGGCGGAGGGGACAGGCGCGGGGAACAGCCCAGGGCGATGGGAAAGTGACACTCGCCCTCTGCCGTCCCCACAGTCTCTTTGGAGCTCCTTTTGCAGCCTGGCACAGGCCCCCTCCCCTTGAACGATCATGCCCCCCTGCATGCATTTGGCTCTGGCGCCCGCCCCTGCCCCCCACCGGGGGGGGGGGGCGCCAGAATGTATCCTTGCCTAGTGGGCGAAAAAAACTGGGGACATCTCTGCCTCCAATAATAAAATACACATAAAGGTTTCCCATCTCACTATAAACTTATTCCCTGTATGCTACTTGGATTCCAACAGTACCTTTTAGACTGTAGATAACAGTCCTTTCAGATAGGCCGTATCATATAGGATTGGACCCTATCAATCAGATCTTTCTCTGCTTTCTTCCTGACCCTCTAAGCATTCCCTCCCCCAAAGTAAATCAAACAAACCACCAAGTCTGGTTTTAATTAAGTTTATCATCTTCACATGATGACCAAGCTCTTTTAGCACTTATTTATTTATTTATTAAGTTTGACTTTTAGGCTACCCTCCCCTGAAAAACAGGGCTCAGGGCAGCATACAACAATGATAAAATTACAAGGGTTTTACAGAAATTCAGAATTTAAAATAGTGTGTAAAATACATTTCACATAAAATACATATCACAGCAGCCTGAGCTGATCTGATGGCAATAATTCCTGGAAATGCTGTTACCTCATAGAGGAGGGAGGCAGGAAAAGGAGGAGGAGTGCTAGACTAGATGAAAAACCGCCCTCAACCAAATGCCTGGCGGAACATCTCTGCCTTACATGCCCTGCAAAACGGCAGCAATGGTTAGCTAAGCAGCATAAAACTATATTGCATTATTTTGGGTCTAGAACACAACAGAGGGCAAGCCAGGTACCGCCATAGTAAACTACTCCAAGGGATGTTTTCCCATATATTCTTTCTGTAAAGTCATCCTTTTCCCATATATATTTTTTTTCCTGTAAAGTTATCTTATGCTCTTTGGTTTTTATTGTTTTATACAAAATTAGTAATCACTTTCCATGAGAGTAGCCACTTTTAAAATACAAATTGGAGTACAAAAAAGAAAAAAAAGAAAGAAATTGAGGTAAGGCACTCATTTTTAGGATGGTAAGTTCTCTTTATCCATGAAGACTTGGAATATTTTTTAAAGATTATTTTGTATTTTATTCAACCATAGGTTTAAAACTAATGTAATAGTTATTCCAAATCTGATGTGAAATTAATATCCAAAATATTGCCTTACATGGACCCTCCCTCCTTCTCTCCGCAGTATGAGAAAGCTCTCTTAAGAGGTTATGTTGAGTGCTGTTCGAATCTGACCTGGTGCACCAACCCTCAGGGCTGTGATCAGATCCTCTGCAAGGAAGGCCTTGGTTGTGGAGAAGCCTGCTCAAAGTGCTCATGGATCTCCTGCTTCAACTGCAATTTTCCAGAAGTAAGGCTGAAATTAGGTTAAAAGGTACTGCCTCCTTACAGAATAGTCACTCTGGTTTCTTGTTCTCCACATAACTTAGGGTTTGTATTCCTTCCAGGCACACTACCCTGCCAGCTGTAGCCACATGTCCCAGTGGATGGATGATGGTGGATATTATGAAGGGATGACTGTGGAAGCTCAAAGCAAGCACCTGGCCAAACTCATCTCCAAGCGCTGCCCAAGCTGCCAATCTCAAATAGAGAAGAACGAGGGATGTCTTCAGTGAGTACTTATTTTGTGAGTTTTATAGCTCAAAGAGTGAGGCAAACAGATTAGAAGGTAGTCGTCTGACTTTTTGGGGCTTTTCACTTGATGTTTATTGTATTGATGCCGATCTGATCTGCCATGTCGGAATGCGAAATCCAGTCTCTTTGTGCTCTTCCTTCTTCATGAGATGACAAACATGTAGAGTTTACAGGAGCAGAGAGAAGAGAACCTGGACACAGTTGGAGTTTGTCTGTGGGATGGGTGAAGTGTTGTAGGTCCATTTTGGCTCCTTGTGAGAGACTTCTCAGATAAGATGGACATAATCAGAATCGCTTAAGCGTCTAAAAGAGATAAACAGTGGTGGCACAAGTTGAGGAAAATGTATCTTGCCATGGGGGCTGAAAGAAGTTAAATTTATGTCATTCATGGAAGGAAAGGTGAAACAGTGATTTTCACAGTCTGTAAAATATACCCTGAGAAGAGATTTTTAATTGAGAGAATCTAGCACACACACTGTAAAGATATCCAGCAGCCAAAAGGTGAGTATTAAAAGCTTACGGCTAAGAGAAGCAAGTTTTTAAAGAGTAATTGGCCACTCTAGCAGCTCGCTGTGGGATGCTTAGAATACTAAATCCTTAAATAAAGACTATGTGTTTTTCTTAAAAATACAGCTCAGCCATAGTTGATGTATAATATTCTTCCTTGGTGATTTTGATGGCTAAACATGTTCTGTTATAGTTATGTATGACATTAGCCAGACTCTACCATTTTCAGAATGTTTTGTAGTGAAGATGTGGCAGAAGAGGGCGTAGTTTATCCCATCCCCTTCTGGTCATTTTCCTCATGAACCCCTCCCCAGGCTGGGGAGAGCCCCTCAAGGTTCCAGACCTGTGTTTTTGGAGGTAAATGTGGCTCCAGAAAAGAATGGATGGGAGGGAGTTTCAAAGGGAAAATTAAGTACAGTAAAAGCTTTGTTATCTGGCATGTGTAGGGAATAGGAATTGCTGGTTAATCAAATGTGTCAGATAACTCAAGCTTATTGCTCTGCCCCATCCACAAGCCAGAGGAATCTGCAGTAACCAAACCCCACCTCTTTGGGAACACCATGGCAGTTGCCACCCATGCCTGATGGGTTCCTGAGCTATGGAGCCATCCTATGCAGCAGGTAGACCGGCGGGCCAGCTGCCTAGGAGCCCTCTGGCAGAGCTGGTTCCCATCAGTTCATGGCAGGCTGAGGAGGAAGGAGGCATCCAAGTGTGATGTCAGCAAGCAATGCTGGCTGTCAGAAGCTCAGCAATGGCCAGAGTCATCAAGCTGACCCACTGGACGTATGGGAATGGGGTGCAGGATATGGTGGCTGAGGGGGAGGAACTTAGTGTCTGGATGATGTCACTTAACTGAGTATTCTGGGTAATCACAAAGCCTTTACTGTGCTTGATGAACCCCACTCTTTTTCCTCTACAAAATGTCTCCTGGTCAGGTAACAGAAACATACAAGATATTTCTAGCTTCCTGATGAATAATTAAAGCAAATACATTAATAAAACAGTGTGACTAGGGTTGCAGCAGACAGTTATTAGTCTCTGATGATCAAATCCAAAGTGTTGTCAATAGAAGTGGTTTAGACAAGGAACTCTTTGGTGACGTGGGAACTTGATTGCTTGGTTTGACCCAGATGTAGTAACAAATCAGAGACATAAATTATACCAGAACAGTTGCTCTGAAATCCTTTTCTCCCGAAATCCTAAAAAGTAAGACCTGTGGCCTTAAAAACTTCTGCCCCAGAGCTTGTCACATTGATCATAGTCTTTACGACTCACCAGCAGTTACGATGATCTCTCATGGCAAACCAGAGTTTATGGGACTAAGCTGTTAGTTGTTGAACTAAGTGCTATTCTTTATTATGTGCAGCATGACTTGTGCCAAATGTAACCATGGATTTTGTTGGCGTTGCCTGAAACCTTGGAAGCCAACCCACAAGGATTATTACAACTGTTCTGCTATGGTGAGTGTATGAGTAGAGTACAGGGCATATATTGAGTGTGGTGTTGGTCTAGGTATAACTATATCTCCTTTCTTCTCTCAGGTGAGCAAAGCAGCTCGACAGGAGAAGCGTTTCCAGGACTACAATGAAAGGTGCACTTTCCATCATCAAGCAAGGGTGAGGATCACTGCCACATCTTATCACTCTTTCCCCCATTCGTGGACTATGTCAAGGGTCCCCAACCTTTTTCAGCCTGTGGACACTTTTGGAATTCTGACATAGGATGGTGAGTGCAACCACGAAGTGGCTGCCAGAGGAGGCACAGCCAACCACAACAGCAGAGAGTGAATTTATGCATAACTCAGATAGCAGGTCTCCAACATTTCAGGCAGCATCTGTGTGGCGGAACGGGCCTGCGTCAGCTGGCTGACCCCACTCTGCCCACCCCTCCTTTGCCTGCCCTGGCACCTGAAGGGGCAGTTTTTCACCACCGCCTCCGGGTATTGCTGCCACCACTGTCCCTGTCTTGGGCTCTGGTTAGGCAGGACAGCCTCCTAACCTCCCTCTGATGTCGCTAGGAACCCACCTCGGGGCTGCCTGGCAATCTTCGGGGCTCCCCTGGAGAGCTGGCAACTGGCCATTTTGCCCTTGTTCTCAGGGAGTCCCCAACCCACTCCTAGCATGTCTAAGCGGCTGGGGGAACTATGCGGTACAGAGGGACTTCTCAGTGTCAACAGTAAAAGATTTTATTTTAAAACCACTCAACTATATACAGGCATATTAACAGTGAACTGAAGAATCAAAATAAAGGTGAATAATAAATCGCTCCGTCTCTCCCTTCACTACACATACCCTGTCTAGATGGTCTGCAGGGCAGGCACATGACTTGCTTTCACTGGTGGAAGTTAGATTAGCACCACTCCCAACATGGCCTCTGCCTCCTGCAGACTCCAGCTGACAGCCTGACTGGCTCCAGACTTCAGGCAGACCGACCTCAATTCTCACAGACTGCTTCCCACCCCAAAGCTCCACTATATCAAACAGCCCTTCCCGCCCAGGAAGTGGCTCTCCCTCCTGCAGCATTCTGGGGCAGATCTCCTCACAGCCTTGACGGACTACCTGTCCTCTCTAGGGAGCTGACCTCAGACTACTGGTTGGAGACGGGGGGGGGGGGAATGAGGAGGAGACTAGGCCAAGGCCTACCTCAGGTTTGATGGTCTCCTCCTATTCAGCCCCCACCAACTTAAACATATGCATAAAATGGCATTTCTCCACAATCTGTTTAATGGATGCCTTCTAATTAACATGTCATTTAAAAATATTTTCTAGCACATACACACAAACTAGAGAGAGAGAAAACGCTAGATAAGAAACTCTTATCTAGCAACGTCTGTCTTCATTTTGCAGGCATCTAACGCACTTATGCCAAAGGCTTCTCAAGCTATTCCTTTAGGTGAGCCTTTCTCTCATGAGCCCAGATATGTTTATCAGCACTATACTTGTAACTATGACAATTTGTAGTGAAGGGCTAGTGAGAGCTCCTTGTACATGTGCACAGTGGGAGAGAGACTGGCCAGGTTTTGATAGGAACACACATTATTTGTGAAAAGTGAACAAAATTATCCAGGTACATTAAACATTGTAGCCATGCAGCCCAATCTTGTTCTGTCAGAATCAAGTCCCACTGTGTGTTTAGAGTACCACTGCACTGTTAGCAGAGATAAAGCACTGTCTACATTATGCCATAAACAACAAAGAATTAAAGCCACACCCACTTTCTAAAAACACTTGCTACATGCCAGGAAAGGTAGTGGTGGGCACGATGGTGCCCATGAAGTACCATGTTGGAGACCCCTAAGTTGGAGTTCCATTCGGTAAATGCTGTTTAAGGTCTAATAGGTCTCATTTAGTGAGGGAAAGGTTTTAGTTCTCATGCTTCTGAAGGCTGAGGTTAAATCTGCTGATATCAGGGGGGGAAAAGTGGTTCGAATCTTCCAGAAAATACTTTTTAGCAGGATAGTGGGCATGTTGCAGTTTTTTGTACTTTTTCCTTTTAGTCTAAAAAAGTTTTCCCATCAAATTTTAGATGGGAAAAAGAGTGTTGGGTCTCTCACTCCTCACCATCAAGTGGTGGGAAAGATCAGGACAGTGCCCCCAGCAACTGGTCAGATATAAGGTGATGAACCCTAAAACAGTCAGGAAACAAAGTGCCACAGAGCTCTGTAGAACTATGCTCTGTTGCATCCAATCAGTTGTGACAGTTAGACATCCTTGGCAGAGAACATGTGTTGGCTAGTCTTTGGCTACTCTTAAGAAGGGAGAAAGCTGGGCAGGGTTTTGAAAATAAATATACTATAGTATAAAATTTGCTTAGATGAATGCATTCCCCATTTGTCTGATGGTTGCTTCTCTGTATAAACATTTACAAATATCCCAAGAGAACAGGTGCCTGCTGTTAATCATGCTTCACTAATTATAGTGGACTAGAGTTTGTCATAGGCAGTTGGTCCAAGATCTAGTAGCAGAAACTGGCTATGAAGTCCACTTTGACTTTTGATTACAAAGAAGGCTGGAAACTGTTTGTGTCATTTGGAACAGTCAGCCAGATTGCCAAACTGAACAGTTGGTCTGAAACAATGGCTACTGTGAACAAATAGGCCGAGATCTTGTCCTGAAGAAGAGTGGGGGGGGGGGGGGGGGAGAGAATGTGTGGAAAGATAACAGGAAGGCTGGGGGAGCTGATGGAGTTTCCTTGGTTTTTGTAGGAATTTGCCATGAACCTGCGAAATAGAGTTTCCACTATCAGTGATGTGCCACAGATTCGGACCTTGACATTTGTTGTTGACGCCTGCAAAATGCTGGAACAGGCACGGAAAGTAAGTGCACAGCTTTGAGAAACAGTCTTCTGCAAGATGCATGTACACTACTTTACTCTCTGGTTTTCTCCTGTTCTGCTGTTTTTTCTGGTACCAGCTGGTCCAGCCCTACCTTTTTGAAAAGGTGCCTGGGCCATTGTCTAGAGAACAAGCACAGCATTCAGATAAATGGGGTGGAAATGGAAGGAGAAAAGCAAGGGAGTGCACAAGAAAGTACTCAAAATTAAGACCTAAGGTGGGAAAAAATCTCTGAGCATTCTACAGACTGATTTATTTCTTTTTCTTAGTCAAGAGCCTAATACATAACAGATGTGGAATAACTTTGGCTAATAGGAGTATTTTGCTGTACTTGTTGATCTTCGTTGTCTGCCCATATTCTGACAAGCTCTTTGGTACTTATATTAAAAGTCCATTCTGTGTAGGTGCATAGTGGGCTACTCTGGGGCAACTGAACTGTGCCTTGGAATTTGGGAGCATGATCTAGTTTCCAGCCTTTTACCTTGATTCTCTCCCCTTTTGGGTCTCAAGTCGTACACATTTTCTTCTTTCACGTATGGGGGCTGTTGGAGTTCACTGACTGCAATCATAGACCAACAGAAACATCACATCTTCCCTTTTTTCTAGAAATGGGGGCCATCTTTACAAGTAATAACAATAATTATCATATAACTTTATACCTTTTGATTTATTGATCGCTCATCCTGCAGAGCTGCTGGCACTGTGTGTAGAATAGCCAGCAATCCAAAGGTTGTCTGGCAGCCACAAGTTCTAGGTCTCAGTGTTATGCACTGCTAAGTGGTGAGCTAGAGTTGTTTTTTTAGACTTTGGGTTTTTAAAACCTGGTTCTCCAGATTAAAGTCCTGGCCTTACCCCCCCCCCCCTACATTGCGTGCAATTCTTTAAAAAGTGAAATAGCACAACAAGGGGTCTGTAAGCCGCTGTCATGACACCTTGTTCATTTCAGCCCAAGTATTTAAAGCAGGGATGCTATCAGTTTGAAACCATGCATTTTTTTAGTGTGATAACACCATGCTTACACAGGTTCTCGCAGCGCAGAAGATATAATACAGGTAACATTAAATGTTCTTGAAATCTGCATTAGCTCATGACAGAATCCCTGTGCCAACAGGGGTTTCGTTTTCTGGCCTTTCCCAATCTAGATGTTTTTCTTCTGAGCTGTCTCTAAGTTGTCTGTGTCCTAGCCATAAGTCTGTAAATGGACACTTCATTGCAATCCTGATTTATGCCAAAACAACAAAGCAGGAAAGTTTAGTTTTCCATTAGAATGTAACAAAATAAAAAAATCCAACTGCACATTCTTTATATGTAAATTACGGGTATGTCTCTCTTCTCTACCAGGTGCTGGCTTATTCCTGTGTGTACAGCTACTATAACCAAGACACTGAAAAAATGGATATCATGGAACAGCAGTCAGAGAATTTAGAGCTGCACACCAATGCTCTACAAATTCTTTTGGGTGAGTAAGAGTGAGTGACCCAGTGCTACTATACAGATGGCTGCTATTTCGTAGAAAAACAGGTTGAGAGTACGCTGGCTACACAGGGGCTAGAGAACCCTTATTGAACACACATGAAGCTGCCTTGTACTGAATCAGACCCTTGGTCCATCAAGGTCAGTACTGTCTACTCAGACTTGGCAGCAGCCCTCCAGGAGATTGAACCTGGGACCTTCTGCATGCCAAGTAGATGCTCTGCCACTGAGCCACAGCCTCTTCCACTATTAAGGAGAAAGATAAGAGAGTATCTCATCACCACCATTCTAAATAGTCCTCATCTGTATATCTGTCCTGACTTTATCCCCCTATATTGCATGTAATTCTAAAAAGTTGCACACAGGTCTCTTGCATAGTCCAGACTGTTCGTACTGTCATGACACTTCGGCCTGCATAGACTTTTACCCCATGGTTTCATTACTTGATTTAGCCAGATGCCCCCAGTCTGGTAGGCTCTAAATCTGTGAAAAGCAGCAAACAGAAGTGTTTTGGGGTGGGAAAAACTCTGCTATACTAGTAATGAAATCCAACCATTCTTCTGATGAGGTATGCAGGGATGGGGTGGGGATGTCAGAAACAAGCTGTAAGGTGGAGACTTCTGGAGTTTATTTTCCCTGAATACACAGCCTAAGAGGGGACCGGGGGGGGGGGGGACTTGTGGCAGCCTTAATTTCAGGCTGTGGTCTTATCTTTCTCTTTCCAGTGTCCAGAGCTGGCAGGTACATCCCCACAGGAGGGAAGGGCAACTGAAACTTTGTAGCTACGCAAGTTTGCCAGAATCATGTCTGGACATGAGGCCTGTACCTTTTAAGCATTTGAAAGCACTGGGATACTCTTCCACCAGGCCCTCTACCATTCTTCCCCCACCTGAGGTGGCCAGCACAGAATTGTAGTTATACTCCATAACAGGCAGAAGATGAATGTGGGCAAATTCCTTAACATTATGAATAATTGCATTTGGAGGTCTGTAAGCTCCAAGCAAACAACAACAGCAAAACTCAACTTAGATAAAGGGCGAATTTTCTACCCCTTTATGTTCCTCTTGTGGACTGAGCTGAATTTCCCTGCAAGTGAGGCAAATAAGTACTTGTCTGCCTGGAACTCTGTAAGATGTGTTCACTGATTCAGCACTACCCTTTTGGTTGCTGCTATATAACGTGCAGATGGGATGTCTTGCCTTGTATTTCAGAGGAGACATTGCTGCAGTGCCAAGATGTTGCTTCTTCCATTCGACTGCTGAAAGCAGAGCATTTTAATGCTGGTCTTGAGCTGGTACGGAGGATCCAGGAACGGCTTCTTGCAATTCTGCAGCATGCCACTCAGGTAACATCTGTTAGATTTTTTTTGGGGGGAGATCTGTTTTGCTTACCCCTGTAGTGAAAGAAATATTAATTGCATAGTAGCAGACCTGAAATTCATAACAGTGCCATCTGTTTATAAAGGAGTTCTCCAGTTGTCCACATCCGGACTACATGCTTTCTAATTTCTTATTTCATTGCAGGACTTCCGCATGGGTTTCCAAACCCGGCAAAGCTCTGAACAGAGAGAGATGAAGTTATCCAATGTGCCTAATGCTACTCCTGCTTATAAAGAGTGAGTTTTTTTTCCTTCTGAGTAGCTGGTGGTGGGAATGGGTTTTTATATTGTTACCAAGAAGCCTATGGGTAGTAGCTCGTTTGTATGTAGGCAGACAGAACTACTTAATGTTCACTGTTCTGAAGACTGGCTAATTAAGAAGAGGCTAATTAAGGATGTGTCACAATCCCTTAAACTGGAATTGTAATAGTAGTCCAGATGCAGGATTACCAGATATCAAAAGGCTATTCCACTAAAGTCACAAAGTTGATAACCGTGTTTTTGTTCTTTGACAGCTTGACGGTGTTTCTTACTGATGATGGCTTTTGTAGGTTTTTAAAGAGAAGGCTTAATGAGTGGCTCACCTCAACACTGCTGAAGTTTGACAAACTTGCCCTGCAGCATATTTATACTTTTGTCTGAGTATAGACAAGATTCCAAAGGCTGTTGGGGATTTAGCGCTCTTATCCTAGGAGCAATCTACTTGGCTGAGACTTAGCAGCAGAAAAATATACTGAGTGCACTGATCACTAGGGTTTGTTTCTGCACAGGTTGACTTTTGACGAGGGATCTGATTCACCTGACACAGATGATGGTGGCAAAGAGGAAGAAGATGAGGATGAGGATGATGAAGAGTATGTCCCTGAATGGCAGGAGTATGATGATGAAGATCTTGATGATGACAACATTTCCTATGATGATGAATCAGAGAATCTGGAGAGGGATTCTTTCTTTTTTGAAGATGAGGATGAAGCTTATTAGACTTGCTCTTCAGGCAGCCCAAAGTGAAATCTCACCTGTCATCACTCAGGATGGCTTTGTCCTTGATGCACCCTGCTTCTCTCATTGTCATCAACAGCAGAGAGAGGACTACTAAGTTTCAGTCAAGCAAGCGAGAGTTCATTAGCTGTTCACATGGTAGTTTACCACAAAAGGATGCTTTCATCTTTTGAGTTGGCTGCCATGTGACTTTTGGGGAGAAAATTACAAGATTGCTGTCCCTGGTTACATATGAATGTCATCCGTTCTTGGCAAAAAATAAAGTTACTGTTTCCTGTGAGCTTTCTTGGGGAATAAAATCAGGTACCAGTCTGGAAACAGGTCCAACTATTGCCTCTCCTCTACCTTGAGAGATCAAGGAAGCACCACAGGTCATCAGTGTTTGTGAAAAGTTGTTAGGTTGTGCACCACTCTTGCCTGTATCTCCTGTTCCTTCTAATGCCCATTTGCTACTGTCCTGCAGGAAATCCAGTCTTGGCAGAAAGTACTTGACTTTATAATCAAGCCTGACAATGGCTAAAATGCCAAGAAAAAGCAGGGACATGGGCTTATAAATACCAGCAGTGATGTTTCGTGTGGTAAATATATGGATGTACTAATGCACATGCACACACACAAACGACATATGTGTACACAGTTTCTTAGGGGGTGTCACCCTGCTCAAGTGATTCTCATTTCTGTTCTAGCACAATTCTAGAAACTATGAATGAGAATTTTCAGTTGGTTGCAGCGTGAAGTATACAGAGAAGAAAGATCACCTAACTGGAGACATTTTAGGTGATTTAGGTTACTGTGCATGGTTGGAGATGAGGGCCAATAAAATTATTAAACAAAATGTCCCAAATTGAGCCAGAGGCCCTTCTGTGAGCCTGATGGATGGTTCAGTGGGTTGCTGGTGCTCTGAATGGACATGGCTATGTGTGCATCCCTCTCATTGAGAGGTGAGTTTTCTGTAATTTTTGTTTGTCATTGGAATTGTTGCCTTCTCTTCCTACAGATGGGAATTCCACAGGATATAGAGGCTCAGAAGGTTTGTATGTATATTATAAATATATACAAATATATATATATGCAGAAGCTGAAATTGTGCAGATTATTATGCTTTATCTTTTCTTGAAAATGAAAAAATCCTGAAAGAACAAGGTGATATAAATAAACAGTTTTTCTTCTACTGCTCTTTTTAGCGTGGTTCTCTTCTAGATCCCCTCTGCTTTCTACACCTTTCTTAGGGGCAATGTATCTGTTAAGAAAATGTGACTGTGACCAAGAGCCTTGGGTCTCCTTGGTAACACTTAGTAAAAGAACATGCTGGATGTGATGTTATGCTACAGTTTCCCTGCCCCTGTTCTCCTTCAACGGCTGTTGTTTGCAGGGGCAGAGAAATGGAATGCACTGATGTCATACCTGAGAAGATACAGTACAGTTGCTCTTGGCTTTGACTGTGCAAAACATCTAGTTCAGCCCCGAGTACCTCACAAAATATACAACAAAATTCCATGTTATGCAGAGCTCTACAGACAACTGTGCAATGATTCCACTTATTTAAAGAGTAAATACAGTTTTTCTTTTATTCTCAATACTGCTTTGAAGTTTGGGGTTTGAATTCAGGGTTTTTCCATGCACCATTCCCCAGTTTCCTGATAATTCTGTACCCCTTAGCTCAAAATCTAAATCCATCCTGCTACCATCTCACCAAGGACCAGTGTTCTAGCTGCACCATTCCATTGTCGCTTCCTGACACTATTTAAAGCAGCCCCACATACAATGGATAGCAGTAATCTAATCTAGATGTTACTGGTGCATGAGCACACTGGCTCACTAACAGGGGACCCAGGTCCAGCAGCGCCCCCAAGCCACAAACCTGCTCCTTTAGGGGGAGTGCAACCCCATCCAGAACAGGAGAATACCCATTCCCAGATCAGTCCCGCCCCCATAGCACCTATGTTTTGTTGGGATTCAGTTCGTTAGTTCTCATCAGTCCCCATACTGCCTTCAGTTACCGCAGTTGCCACAGCTTTCCTGGGATCTGCTGGAAACACAAGATAGAGTTGAGTGTCATCCGCATATAGGAATATAATGCAGTTCAAATCTCTGGACGACCTCTCCCAGTTCAAAGATGCTCAAAAGCATGGGGGACAAGATGAAGCCTTATGGGACCCCAGAGGTCAAGAGGCTGAATAGCAGTCCCCCAGCACCACACTTTAAAGTAGGACCCAAATGACCACAAAACAGTGCTTCTCAGCTTGGAGAAACAATGGCTGAGGGATGACATGATCAAGGTTTATAAGATTATGCATGGGATAGAGCAGGTAGAGAAAGAAGTACTTTTCTCCCTTTCTCACAATACAAGAACTTGAGGGCACTCAATTAAATTGCTGAGCAGTCGGGTTAGAACAGATAAAAGGAAGTACTTCTTCACTCAAAGAGTGATTAATACATAGAATTCACTGCCACAGGAGGTGGCGGCTACAAGCATGGACGGCTTCAAGAGGGAATTAGATAAGCATATGGAGCAGAAGTCCATCTGGCTTTTAGCCACAAGGTATAGATAGGAACTCTCAGGCTCAGGCAAGTGATGCACTGCATTCTTGGTGCTGGGAGGGGGGCAACAGTGGGAGGGCTTCTGGTGTCCTGGCCCCACTGCTGGGCCTCCTGATGGTGCCTGGTATTTTTGGCCACTGTGTGACAGAGTGTTAGACTAGATGGGCCATTGGCTTGATCCAACGTTGGCTGTTCTTATGTTCTTATCCCTGAAAGGTGGATACCATGATGAATGGTATCAAAACCTGCCAAGAGGTCCAGGAGAATTAATAGGGCTGCACTCCCCCCGTCTATCTCCCACTGCAGGTCATCCACCAGGGCAACCAAGGCTGTTTCAGTCTCATAACCAGGTCTGAAAGCAGATTGGAATGGAGCCAATTAATCCACTTAATTCAGGAATCCTTGAAGTTATCCAACCACCACTCATACAATTACCTTGCTCAAGAATGGTACATTTGAGACTGGGTGGTAGTTATTGAACTTTTATGGGACTAGAGTAGGTTTCTTTAGGAATGTATGCACCACTGGCTGCTTCAAGGCAGGAGCATCCACCCCCTTTCTCAGGGAGGCATTCACTATCTCCTGGACCCAGTCCACCAGCAAAATGATCACAGTGGCTGCAGAGCAGTTCACCTTCTGTAGGCCACAATCTAATAGGCCCCTAACTATCCAGAAGAGTTCTGTAGGTCTACACTGTGCACATGCAGTGGTAGCAGAGAAAAAATTCTTCACTTCCATCACCACCGAAACACAGGCTTTAAAATGAGTTCTAGCCCATTCCTTGTCAGATTTGTGATGAGTTTTTCTCCAATGTTGCTCTAGCCATCTACCTTGTCTTTTCATCATCCTTAGTAACCCAACTGGCTGCCTGGGCTCCTAGATGTAAGAGAAAGGTGCCTAGGAGCAATCATATCAATTTCCTGGGTCATTTCCTCATTCCAAACATCAACAAGGCATTGACAAAAACATCAACCATATCAACAGGAAGATCTGAAAAGCAATCAGATCCATCAGGCTATGATAGGTGGATCATCTTAATCGATCCCCCACTCTTGTGGACTCTTGGTATCCCTGTTCACTCTAAACAGAAAGATTCAGCTGGCAGGAACCATTCAACAAGAGGCAGCTGGAACACTCTGGACTTTTCACCACCTGGGATCCTGATTTGTTATTTATAGCTATGACATGAATGATGTTCCTCTGATGGTTTCACTCCTAATTTATTGGCATCTAACTGGATACGAGAGTAGTGTTTGTACAGATGATAGACATTCTTCCTGACACACTATTAAGGAGCTGCCTGTGGTTTACACACAGAGATTTCCTTGCGTCTGTTGGAACAGTTAAACAACACATCATCTTGGTATCTCAGCAAAGAGATAGAGTACCACCATAGACTTTTCAGTTTATATATTGCCTTATTGCAGAGTTCAGATGAGTGAGTAGCTGGGATACAAATGCAAGAGTTCAGGTCCTGCCTTCTGTGGTCAATGTGGAAAAAGCTGGCACTGAACAAAGTACAAGATTACTGCAGGACTATTTATCCCCTACTATGGAGAGGCCAGCCAGCCATTATTACCATTTTTTTTTTGCTTCCTGTTGGCAAGGATGTGTGCCATCCCAGTAAGGTAAGATGATTTGGGGAGTGGAAAGTATTCAGCAAAGTCGACAAGAATGTGTTCTGCTCTGGATGTCTGCTAGACCTGGTGGCTGCTGCAGCTCTGCCTCCATTGCTAGTTCATTTTGAAGCTGCTTGTGAAATAGGCAGTACAAATGTGAGAGCACTTTTTCCTTGCAGTGCAAACTGTGGCAGTTCTGGGGTGGTTGGAGGAGAGCAAAAAGAAGTCTCAGGGTAGTGAACAACCCAAGGCAAATGGAAACAGGATGTGTGAGTGGTCCACTTGAACAAGGCATAATTTGAGATACTGAGGGTTGTGAATTAGGAGAGAACAAATAAAGCAGCAGCAAAAAAAGTGAGTCAAGGTTGCAGTTACCTCCTCTTGATCAGTTGTGGGGGAACCATCCCAATGACTACTGACAAAAAGAAATACCAGAGTTCATTCGTTTTTCAGGCTATACCATGTGTCCACAGTTCTAAGGTACACAATACATAGTTGCACATTAGTAAGGGAAAGCACTCTACACATGCTTGAGGCACCACATTCTAGGGCAGCTTTAGATGCTGAATTTGATTAGGCCGAGGCCAATGGGTGGGAGGAGCGCCATTTGGCAGGGGCCTCGAAAAAAGGCTATCAAAGCATTTGTTCATTAAAATATTCAAACTTTTGGGGTACTTTATTGTTGGATCCCCAAGCATCGAGAATAAATCCACGTTTCAAAGAAAGTAAAGTTTATTTCAAAGCATTGGAAAGATACTCAAACACGTTCTTTGTTAGAACTGAACACAAGCAGTTAGGGCAGACATGATAAAGGGATTCAAGTTAGAAACACAACCAATGGATAACGTTCCCGCTGGCGGGCAGGAGAAAACGGTTGCCTGCTCAAGTCTTGGGAACCAGGCGAACAGTAGACAAAACACAGGTGCAGTTCACAGGCTTGATAAGTAAGAAGCTAACAGCGAAGCATACTCTCCCCCTCACATCCTCCAGTTGTTTTACTTTGGCATTACAGCATAGAAAACACAGAGGCCAGCTGGCAGGGACAGGGATCACATATGTACAAGCAGAAGTTACACAGAACACCATGGCAGCTTGCTGACAAGTTGGAAAGTGGACTGAAAGTGAATTGTTTAGGGGGTGTGATCGCAGCTCACAGAGTTTTCAGCCTTTCCTCCCAGGGAAGGTGCTCCAGCCCCCGAATCATCTTGCCTGCCCTCCTCTGTACTTTCCCCACCTCTGCCATGTCCTTCTTGAGATACGGGGACCAGAACTGCACACAGCATTCCAGATGAGTCCGCACCATAGAGCTATACAGAAGCACTACTTTACTCATACTGCTCTTACAGCCGGTTTGGCTCTGATGAACAGGGTCAGACTAAGACTAAAAATAAAGAAGGAAATTTATTTAATACATGTGTCTATATAATATAAAAATTAATTATTTTTAATCTTAATCGACTAAGAACTTGGTAACTGCCAATGTAATATTAAAATCCACGCCTGTTAAAAGAAACCTCAAATTATCCACACCTAGAGTCCTGGATATGGGACTTTATCCAATTCTGATCCATCGTCGAGCAAATCACAGTTGAATAGACAATGCTGAAGAAGAGGAGGAGGAGGAGATTGGATTCATACTCCATGGCCCTTCACTACCCGAAGGAGTCTCAGAGCAGCTTACAATCTCCTTTCCCTTTCCCTCCCCACAACAGACAGACACCCTGTGAGGTGGGTGGGGCTGAGAGA